ACTGGATAGCTTAGCAGGCTGACAGTCACCCTGCTTTTGATCCTTTTCTGTTGAAAATCGCTCCCACAGACTTGGATTAGTTAATAAATTCTTAGCAGTTTCATATCCAGGGCATACCTTCAGTCAACATGGTACATGACAGCTCACTTTTTAGGGCTGTGGGTATGGGCACATGGCAGGAAGGATACTTAACGACTGCTGCCAAACTGTCACCCTGGGGGGTTCCAGGTCTGTCTGGGTTCTGAAGGAAGCCTCTGAGAGCCCAAAGAGACCACTGTCGTTGTCTCACAGCTGGTGGAGGTCCTGCTCTGCCTTTGAATAACATTGAGTGTGGATGGAGCATGGCCTTGAGCGTGAGTGAGTGGCAATTGGTGGCGTGGCTTGGCTGGCTCTTACCAGCACTGTGTCCACTTGTCCCAGTCCCAGGATATAGCCAACATGCTCTCCTGTCAACGGGCCTTCAGTGACACGTCTGACTGGCCCAGAACTGCGGAGAAACAGCAGCATCTCCACACCTCAGGAAGGCCCCGGCCTTATCCACCATTACCTAACCCCACACCCAGGCTCACCTGTTTTCTGCCATGGCCGGACTGACTGCTGATGTGACGTGCAGGCTGCTGTAACTGTGCTCATTACGTCACTCTATTTCTGATGACTGCTTGGCTAAACAGTGAGGGAAGCTGTCATGTAGCTGCTCAGTGGCTCACGGGGACACTGACCTCCATGTCCCCTTTCCTCCACGCACAGCAGAGGCATGACCATCCTGCAGAGCAACTTGCAGACAGCTTTAGGTGTTCCTCCCCAGTAGCCCAGTCTCACTGGGGGCCACTGTGATGACAGACAGGCCGACCTGACCCCAGCCCAGGGTTGGGGTCAGGGAGCCATGGTCACTCTCATCCGCAGATGGATTCCCTGGCAGTCATGGGGCGGAACGAGACACTGGGAAGGAAACACAGCATTGAGATGGGTCACAGGCCACCATCAGCCGGGGTTGTTAGCTTTCCCCACACTACCGTAGCTGGCCCTTTGGGATCCACAGCACACTCCGAGTGGCACATATCTCAGCATTGGTGGCCTGGATGCCCCAGGAGGCATTTTGGAAGGCAGAAGGGAAACAGACAGAAGTGATGAGAGGGATCTAAAAGGACTCTTTAAACAGGCTAGATGGCTCAGGAGGAAATGGTGCCAGGAGGAAATGCTTGCCCAGGCCCAGGTGCTCCACCCGTGTTGGTGATGTGGCCAGGTTCCTGCGACTACCTTGTTTGGAGTCCTCGTAGCTTCACAGACGGTGGAGTTGGTCACAGAGCCCTGCAACCGAGCTGGCCTTGGATTTCTTTGGAAGACCCGTGCTCGGGCCGAGCGCATCGATCCCGTTTCCTTGAGAGCACATTATCTTCACACGGCCTTGCATTAATGCGTGCGGGCTAATTTCCCTCATCCCAGCTGTACACCCCAAGTGCCAAAACTCTCCACTTCAGCCCACTGGGAAGGAGCTCATCTCAGGAATGGGGGCAGGTCTCTGGAGTGGGGGTCACTTCTCCAAAGTGCTCAGAAGTGTCCAATTGCTCCCTAGGGACACCAGCTTCCCCTGCTAAGTGTCACCCGGATGACCGCAGGGCCCCTGGGCCGTGCAGCAACAAGTTTCCTGAAATGCCCTCAGCTGAGCCTCTGCTTCCATCGCAGGCTACTGGGTTCCAGTGAGGAGGGGAGAAAGGGTCTGCAGCCTGGTGCCACCCCCTTGGGACATCAGGCTTTGCCATCCGCTGTGAAATCCTCCCTCCTGCCCCCATGGAAGCCCCAGACTCAGAGCTCAGCCAGGCCTCTCGAGGTGGGGTCCAGCACCCTGGCCTTGGCTCCTACTGTTTTCCTGGTCCCCAGCCCCAGCTGTAGGCCTAGTCACCCCTCTTGGAAGCCAGTTCCCATCAGGGACAGCCTCCCTTCACTGCCTGGAAGGTTTTGTTAGGCTCCTTTACACCATGCCACACAGAAAAGGGCAGTGTTTGCGCAACACCCCAAGTGACAAGGGATTTGGAGGGAAAATGCGTCACATTTCCTTTATATTACATAACCCTGGTGAGACATAAGCAATTTTTCATATTCAGATTTAATAAGAAAACTTCTAAGTGACTTTTCCTGTATTAAATGAGAAACTGGAATTCAGGCTAAGTATGAGGGTACACCCCTTTAATCCCAGTACTCAGGAGGCAAAGACAGGTAGAGTTACACTGAGTTCGAGGCCAGCCCGGTCTACAGAATGAGTTTCAGGACAGCCAGAACTACACAGAGAAATCCTGTCTTGAAAAAGAAAAACAGACAAATCAGATCAAAAATAAAAACAAAAAGAGAGAAAGAAGCTGGAGTTTGTGGCATTTAATGAGCAACCCACTGGGGTCCCCCAAGACTGCCCATCAGGGCCTTTGAACTACATTTCAAAGTCTTGCTGACTGCCTTTGTTGGGAAGTGCTCAGTCAGGGCAAGCATTTCAAGTCAAGGCTTGTCACTGTGGAAAGCCTAAATGAAGCAAAGTGGACACCACTTAAAACAGGCAGCCGTCTCTTTTGTTTTGATTTCACTGGAAAATAGAATCTTGCCATTTTACACAAACACACATCAGCCCTGTGGAGAATGCAATACATTTCCACCATTATTCCGAATCTGTGAGGAGGACCTCACTGGAAAGGGGGATGGGCTTGCTAGGGTGACTCTTGGGTGTAAGTGGGTGCCATTTGCTTGCATTTCAAAGCTCACCCCACCAGGACCCCTCCTGGCTCTGACTTTGGGGATGTGTCTTGGGCCAGAACCCCTAGAACCTCTGTAGCCCTGGGATCTGCTCTGATGACAACGATGTCCTTCAGGGATGGAGTCCACGAGGGACTTTTGTGCCTTTGATAATGTCCCTGAGTCTCAGTGATGATGTGGTCATCATGGTCCATCCACAGAACCTTACGGTTTCTTCTCTGAACGTCCCATTCAGGCAGGTGCAATCCAAGGAGTCCCCATGAATGCTGTTGATAGCAGTAGGCCTGGGGTCTAGGAGCACCACCTCCCCAAAGGGAAACCTACACTTCTCCTCAAACCTTCACAAGTGACCTTCCTTCCCAGGCAGTTCCCCTTCCCAGGGGGTCTCACACACATGCATCCCAAGCATCTAGTTGCACAGTCAGGGGAGTGGGGGGGGGCTGTGCTCCATCTACCGTGAGCTATGTCCTAACTTCCTATGGCTGCATCTGTTTTCTGTGTGCACTTTCTAGAATATTCATGAGAATATTGTTAACCTCTTCCATCTCTGACTGGGTGCCTAGACCAGACTTGACATCTAGGTACTGAGTGGATATTTATGACCCTAGCAAAAGTAGACAGGAAACCCATCATGCTATCATGGCCTGGGGCTGAGCCAGGAGTGTCTATATGGTGTGACAGTCATCCTGCTACCTCTCTAGGAAATGTCCTCCTGTCCACCGCTCTAGCCACCTTTATGCAGGCCCAGAGCACATCTTTGTGCCAGATCCCTGTTGGACATCTTTGTCCTGGAGCTGAACTACAGCCCTGCCTGACCCATCTACTGCCCTGGACTTCCCCTACCTCCTGTCTGTCTATCCAGACAATGAAAGTACTATGAGACCCCAGGCCCCTGCTCGTCATACTGGCAGGTTTCAGCTCTGCTATCTGACATTTCTGTCCAGCCATGGGTGGTCACCCAGACTCGTGTCTTCCTGCAAGAGCCAGGCTGGAGGACAAATACCTGTTCATGAGCCCATGTTGCTCTGTGGTTCAGGTGTCTGCCCTGCCTTGACATCTTTTAACCCCAAGGCCTGCTGCTCCAGAGTTGCAGTCATCTGCCTGCTGTCTCCTCACTTTCCCCATGACGGGCAGCACAGCCACGAGAGGCTGGCGATGGCATCGTGCTGAAATGATCTGTGGCTTTGCTCTCCTTTCCCTTGGGCTGCGAGTGCCTAGGGTGGGGATGGGGGTCTTCTGGGTCACTCCTGACCCAGGTCAGCTCCCACAGGCCTGCTGTGGCCCAAGGTTCACACTTGGCACCAAGTTCTGGTATGATAGTAGAGGGACATGAAAGCCTAGAATTTGGGGAGTCACAGTCAGTCATTACGTACAAGTGGGCGTGACACCTGAAAGTCTGAACAGAAGTGTCAAGCACACATATAAGGCTGTTCAAAAGGGTACAGTGTGGGCCCTGGGAAGGGAAGAGTGTACATCCTGGATTGGCTCCTGTCAGAGGCAGATGGTGGGAGCCTGTGTGGATGAGATGGGAGATGCTCTATAATCACCAGATGTGGCCCAATTAATGGGGTCTGGAGGGGGCGGTGGGGCTCTGGGGAGGAAGACAGCTGCGTCCATCCATGTTCTAGCAGCTCTTGCCAAGAGCAGGGGCCAGTCTGGGCCTGTCTGTGCACTGGCCCTGGCCTCAGGCTTGGGCCAGACTGGCACAGAGCTTTGCTTCGCTGGCCTGCTCTGGGAGACAGTGGGATGGGAGATCTGTAGCCAGGGAGAAGAGGTGCTGGGCTGATGAGCCCGCACCCCTCAGGAGGAAGATAGCAGAGCTCAGCCTGTTTTAGGCTGCCGGAAGCCCCAGGCTCCTCAGACTCCAGGGGGTAATTGCAGTGTGGAGTAGAGCCCCACCCAGTCTGAGGGACAGAGTGCAGCCAGCAAGCCCTCACAGACTCTCCCTGACACCCTTTCCCTCCAGAATCTGGGTGGAGTACCCCAGGGCAGCTCCTAATTGACTCAGGCAGGTTACATATCCTCCCAGGCTAGGTAGGGGCAAGTGGTTGGTAGCTTCCAGAAAAACACCGGGAAGGTGGGAAAGGTGGCAGCCCATCTCAAAGATGAGCTGAGAGATCAGTCGCCAGGGAGAACGGGGAGGGGCCTGAGCAGGTTAAAGGGCACACACTCCACAGAAGGGCCCCTGGGAGACTGACCCAGAGAGGCCAGTGTAACACGAGTTCTAATCGGTCTTAATAATAAAAGCCCGGAGTCAGATATAGGGGAAAATGCTGAGAGATCAGAGAGAAGGAGCAAGCCAAAGCCACCTTTATCTCAATAGCTTTCCAGCAGAAAAGAGAGCAAGTCCCTGTTTCCTCCAGCCCACGTTCCTTTCTCCACCAGCCATCTCATTTCCTGTCTCTTTACACACCTCCAGACCCCTATGGTTAGTTAGTGGCAATCTCCACCCTCTGATCTTCAGACATGCTTTATTTGTACAAACAAGATATCACCACAGGCCAGGGGAATGGTGGTGTCCCTACATCCTCCACTGGGTTCATTCCAATAGCACTGGCTCATCCTGGAGTCCAGGCTGAGGAAGCCATTCCTGTTTGTGTAGCAATAGGTAAAAGGCAATGTGCAAGAGACAGACAGTCCCCAGCCATGCCACAGTGATAAAATACCTTAACACATATTTTTAATGGGGCTGGAGAGATGATCAGTGGTTAAGAGCACTTGCTGTTCTTACAGAGGACCTGGGTTCAGTTCCCAGAACCAGGTCAGGCAGCACATAACCACTCGTACTTAGCTAACATTCTTAAATAGCTCAAAATCGACTGTCAAGGGAATGGTGCTCCCACAGTGGGCAACATCAATTAACAACCAAGGCAATCCATCCCAGACATGTCATAGGCCATTCTGAGCAGGACAATCCCTCAAATGAGACTGACTCTAGGCTGTGTCAAGCTGACAGTTAAAGTTAACTAGGATACCATGTCATAGATGTCAGTAAGTTCTTGGCCATTATTTCTGTGTCTACTTTGCTCATACACTCTCTTCTGGTTCTGCAGTTCCAGGGACGCCTGTGGGAGGGAGTCTGATGGAGTCTCTCAGCTCTCCTGCCTGGGTTCCTTCTCTGAGTGAGGGCCCTCTGCTGCGCAGTATCTCCTGAAGATCTGATGGTTGCCCAACTCCTCTGTCTCAAGGAGGTTTTGTGGGAGGGGAGGGGGTGGTCCATTTGCTCTTGCCTCAGGGTTTCCAGCGCTGTTGAAGCAAGCTAGCTATCCGCCATGCTAAGTGATTCCCTTATGCGGGAGAGAAGCTTGGAGGCTCATCCAAAGTCACTCAGCTAGTTCAAGCCAAGCCTGAGGTTTCTCTGCACGTCCCCAATGCTTTTGTCTCTCCCATCTCTACCTGGTGCTCTGTGGGAGATGCACAGGAAGCAGGCAGCACCCCACTCCCCCACTCAGGCAGAGGGCACCATGGCCTGTGTCGGTGACCCGTGTGTGGGATTTGCAGGGCAGCCCACGGCTCGCCAGCTGGCAGATGCACGATTTCTCTCCAGGTCAATCATACTCTGGGCTGCCCCAGGCTGCTAGCTGACTGCAGAAAAACGCCTGTTCTCTTCCCACGGCCTGACTCATCTGGAAGCATCCATCTGGGTGCTGGGTGAGATTGGTTCTCAGAGGCCACATGACCTTGAGGTTCTCCACGCCCCCTCCACATGATGCCTCTCAAAGAACATGCTAAGCTGTTGGCTTCCTTTAAATGAGGATCTCGTTGCGCAGGGCCTGGGTTAAACGGCCCCCAGACGGGGGGGCTGGGCCGTGTCCTGCTGGCAGCAGCATGGGCACAGAGTTTCTCTTGCATTTTACATGACTGCAGGGCTGTTCCTTGCGCCTGTCTGGTTGCGTCTCATCACTGAGGGCTTCTCGGGGTGGCTGGCCAGCTCCAAGCATAGTCGGAGCGTTGTTGGCAGCACAGCTGCTACTGGGCCTCCAGGCAGAGGTGTGGGCCAGGCACCATGGGGGAGAGCACTGGGCGTCCACGCGCCTTTTGAAGGAGGCACTAGACTATGACATGCTGGTGCAGGGTAGTGGGTACAGATGGGCATCCCTGGCCCCTCTACTTCCAAATGTGGGAGCACGGAGTGAGTCAGAGACTGAGTGTCACAGGGGATATGTGTGAGTTGGATGTTTGTAAGTCTTTCCCTGAGGGTCTCGTGCACAGCCACATACAGAGCAGTGTGGAAGGCCACTCTGAGCCTTGAATTCTGTTTGAAAACTGCAAATAAAACTCTTGTGCTCAGCAAAGAGGTGGAGGGCTCTTCCCTGCCGGAGTGTGGGGTGTGTTTATGACATGTGTGCAGCGCGGAAGAACATGTGCATGTACACATGTGTGTGACATAAAAGGAATGAGTATGCACACACATTTGTCTGTGTGAAGCTGTGTGCATGCAGGACACAGGCATATGTGTGTGTGGTGGACACACTTATGTATATACACACGTGTGCACATGGGCACTCAGAATATGTGCACAGATCATGTGTGTACCCAGGTTGAATGTGTGCATATGTACATGCAGGTCCATGAGCACATGTGTGAGCACTGTGCATGAGGTGGTGGCACACTCTTACCAGGTACTGTCCCTGCCTGGAAGAACCGCATGTGGCTGGTGAAGAAGCCCTGATTCCCACTCACAGCTGGCAGGGCAGGCCTGCTTGCCTGGCAGTGACACCAGTAACTTCGAAGTAGTGCCTGCATTTCCTGTTTCCAAATTGCCAGGCTTGGTCAGCATTCCATTTTGTAAAGAGAAGCCTTCTCACCAGCCTGGTTCCAGAGCTGCATCAGTCCAAAATAACACACAGGAGGCTATATTAATTATGAAGCTGTTGGCCTTGCTTGTTTCTTACTGGTTAGCTCTGACTTAAGTAATTACCCCATAATTGTTAATCTAAGTATTTCTCTTACCGGAGAACTTTCCGGGCTTCTTATCCCTATGGCAGTTACATCTTGACTCCCTGTGTTTCTCCTACCCAGAGTCCTCCTCGACTCCTAGTCCCACCTATCTTGCTTCCCTATTGGCCAACAGTGCTTTATTGACATATACACAGGTCTTCCCCAACACCATTTCTTCCCCTCCTTGAAGCCTTTCTCAGCTCCATGAGTCAGGGCAGAGGTCTCGATTGCTGTGTCATGGGCCTGTGTGTTTGCCTTACAAGGCTGAGCAGTGGCTTCAACCAGTCTCTTCCTGTTGCCCTCCGGCACAGCCATGCACCATACAGTATAGACGGTGCATCCAGTTCCTGTCTGTACAATTCAAATAAACATCTATGCTCAGCAAGGAGGTTGAGGGCTTTCCCTAGCTAGGCTCCATCCCTGCACTCATGGTAGTTATTCTCCTTGTGCACATGTGTCCTCTCAGAGTTGGGGCCCTGTGCCATCTGTCTGGAGACGCTTGCCAGGCGAGTGCTGCAGCTATCTTCCTAGGAGAGTGAGACTTCCTTGGAATCCTAACTGCACGTTTCTAGGCCTCATCAGATTCAGAACACAGCCTGAAAAACCCCAGGGCACAGGTTCCCACTGGGAAGGGTCTCTCTGGTCCAGCCCGGAAGTCCTGTTCACTTGGACCTTGAAATCTCATGATCAAGCTCACGGGCTGTTCATCCAATCTGAGGCATTTAGTAGCCATCTAATTAAATGTTCACACATCATTAAAGTGATTTGCCATAAGCACAGTTAACAGTTTGATAAATCTCCTCCTGACTGACTCCATGGCTGAAAGCAATCACTCCTGATCAGCAGTGGGCTGCTGATATCCTCTGATGAGTTGGAGACACATCACACCTGTCACCCAGCCTTCCCAGGGTCCCTAGGAGTAAAGTCATTGCCATGTACTCCTCCCTGATCTCAGGGTACTTGCTGCTCACCTGGCCCTGACCTTGGGGTACCATGAGCAGGGATGTAATCCCAGTGTTCCCTAGAGAGGCCCTCATACCTCATGCAGGGTTAAAGGAAGGCTGAAGGCTGTTAATTGTTCCCTGATGAGACTAATGGTCAAAGGGCCTGCAACTCAACACACCTGTAATATGGACAGGCCTGGGACTATTTCTGTGGAATATTGATGGTGAGACAAAAGGGCCTGTGGCAGTGGCAATGATGGGGACAAAAAGTCTTCTGGATCTATGTATCTATCTATCTATCTATCTATCTATCTATCTATCTATCTGTCTACCTACCTACCTACCTACCTACCTACCTATCTCAGCTGCAGTCTGGAAAGATAGATGCCCTGACTGGTAAGCATGAGAATTTGAGTTTGATCTCCAGAGCCCTCATTTAAAAAATGCAGATGTCATGGAACACAATAGCAATCCCAGCACTGGGGAGGTGGACACAAATGGAACCCCTGGCATTCCCAGCTCGTACCTGTATCACAGCCACTCTTGCCTCTGTTGTGGCTTGAATTTTAATTGTTATTTGCCCTCCCAAGTTACTGTATCTAAGGTTTTATGGCTGGCGATAATGTTTAGGGAGGCACTGGAGACCTTCATACATGGGGGAAGTAAAGGATGGGAGTGTGCCCTTCAGATCATCTCTCTCTTGGTTGTTTCCTGGCTTTTTCTCTGCTTCTTGTCCTCCATGAGGTGAGCAGCCTTTGCCACAGGCTCCCCCTGCCATGGTGCTCTGACTCACCGTGGGCCAGCATCAAAGGAGCCATAGATGATACAAGTCTCTAAGACCACGGGCCCAAATGACTCCCTCCTGTGAACTTTTCCCTAGCTATTTGATCATAGCAATTAAGGTCTAACTAACACAACCTGTGCCGTCCTGTGGCTGGCTGTCCCTATGTGTGTGTCACTGGGTTTAGGAACACCTAACTTAGTCTAGGACAGTATTGCTTTCCATTTGTTCACATCTATGAAGACCCTGTTTTTTTATGAGGTCAACTACCATGGCTTAAGACCTGAAGATATCTTCAGGTAATGAAAAGGACATGCAATTCAACCCCATCAGGGACAACAGGGGACTGTAGCACCCACTAGGCCCCTCTATGCCTCCTGTATCTCTGAGTTATGTGTACTGGGCATGTCTGTTGATCTACTTGTGCTTGCTAAGTCATTTATCAGCACCCGAGATCCAGTCCCGGGTCCTGGGAAACCATAGAGTATGGAGCCATAGAGGCACTGTGGAAGGTGAGAGAGCCACTCTTGTGGGGCATTTAGCCTCCAGTGAGTGGACAGAGCACAAGCATAGAAGATGTGCACCTAGGGTCCAAAATGCAGCGGCCCTCCTGAGCTCTTCTTGCAGTTGGAAGGAAGGTCAGCACCCTAGGAATGGAGCGTGGCATACCCAGCAGGCAGAGGCAGCATCCCTCTAGCAACAGGCAGAAGATGGGCTTAAGTCTAGGTGTGGGAGAAGGGATGGGTTTGCCAGGGCTGGGGGAGGCAGTTTGATGGATAGGCACTGAGTCCCTGGACACTCAGGCGCAGTGTGCCCATTTCAGGCTGCTGGCGCCAAAATTGTCTCGAAAGCCCATTGCAGACAGCGGCCCACCGCATGCAATTCTGCAATTACACAGCAAGTCATTAATTAAAGAAGACCTGCTTTCCAAGCCTCACAGGAAGCAGGCTTTGTGTGTGCATCGCTCGGTGGTTGTAAGTGTGTGGTGGTAGGGCGACCTGGATTTGAATTTTATCTCAGTGCAGGCACCCCAGTGAGTATTGGGGCTCCAAACTCCATGCACCAAACCTAGCCTGTGCATGTGGGAACGCTGCATCTTTACTGGGTCCCTTCTCTTGGAGGCAGAGCAGAGGTGGACAAGGTTCACAGTAGGTACAGACTCTAGAAAAATGTAGTGGGGTCCCCCAGGTTTTGTTGGCAAAGGCAGAAGACAACAGAATTGGGAGGATGTGATATGCAAAGGATATCTCAACATGCACAGCTTCTGTGGCTCAGCCTGGGCCTGTGGTCAGCTGTCTTCCAACACAATGCTTGCTGAGAGTCCCTGCCTGTTCCTGGGGCCAATGTGGAATCCTGTTCCCCTCAACCTCATCCTCTCCTTCTTCCCCCTTCCTACGCTATCATTACAGGCTCCAGTGAGCCCAGTGTGACCCACTCAGGCATGTCCTTTGGCTCCGGGCAGATTCTGCTCCAGCCTTCACTGACAAGGACCTTTTTAAGCAGCTGGAAATGTGAGGGCCATGCTGGCTTTGGGACTCCCTGTTCTCTGTTCCCATCTTGGGCTTATCTCAGGGTCTCTGGGTACCACCTGCCCTGATGGTCATAGAGACGGATGTCTCTCTGCATGCCCCACATTTCCTGTCCTCCCCAAGAATTGCTAGGGCAATTGCAAACTTGGGGAGATCTAAATTAAGATTCTAAATTTCACACCAGTAAGTAATGCAGCCGAGTGACAAATTTGAGGTTGATTGAGTGGAAGAGTCTGGAAAGTGCTAAGAGTTGGGGGGCAGTGGAACTTGGCAGAACTCTTACCTGCTGAAGGCAAGAAGACAGCAATGAGCAGGGGTAGCAGACAGCAGAGCGGCAGCAGGCTGTCAGGCCCAGCGTCTCTGAGGAGACAAGAGCTCCAGGTAAGGGCCACAGTGGGCAGGCCCAGCCCTCTGCAGTGACTGGGAAGGGGATATTCCCCCACCCCCCGGGGGTCAGTATGGGAAAGTAGACATGGACCACAGGTGGGAAGAGGCCCCAGCACATATGGACATGATTCTTCCCCTGATAATACCTTCTGTGCATCGGTCCACTCCGGAACTCAGGCCTGGCTGCCAGTGAGGCTCTCCAGGGCCTGCCTTGCCGCCCCATCATGCACTGTTACTGGAGGCTGAGCCACTCAGGTGGCCTGCGTTTAAGCCTCAGCCTCTCTCATCTGAGAACTATGGACAAGCACCCTACTGCTCTTTGACCCAGCTTTCAAGTGTAGATCGGGAGTGATGGCCAAGGCCCATCTCTAAGACCGGGTCAGCATATGCGAAGCACTGCACCACTGGGGCTCCTGGTATCGCCAATCATGTGTCTTCTGACTCCATGAACCAGTGATAAGCAAGCAGTGAGGGAGAACGGTGATAGGTGGAGGAGACAAGCACCCTGTCTTCTTGGCAACCTGGCCCATCCCTGGCGACCCGACTGTCTGTGGGCCACAGGGGAGACAGGGCTGGGCAATGCAGACTCCAGCCTCACACCTGACTGGCCACTGGGCGAATGCCTCCCCAAGCCCATTATGGCAATTAGGAGTCAGTGCTCCATTTAACCGCCAGAGCAGCATTGCGGCTGGGCCCAAGGAGGCGGATGCTCCGGCAGTCTCGCCAGCCTGGAGCCCCAGGCTCATCTGTGTAGAGGGAGGGTGTGAGACCAGGCCCAGGGCACTTCCCTCGAACTTCAGTCTGGATGAGCCTTAAGGGCTGTGGGGATTTGGGGGCTGGGGGATAGGCATGTACTTGCTCATGTGTACACACCACACACACACACACACACACACACACACACACACACACACACACTGGACTCTGAGCTTCCCATCCCTGATACATCAATTCAGCTCAGCTGCTATGATGCACAACACATAACATATGCGTAATACATAAGTCAGACCTGAGCTTCACCAACCAACAGTTAAAGTCTCATGATCCAGAGACTGAAGTCTGAGGTCAAGATATTGTTGTAATTAAGTCACCCCTGCCTAGGACCTGTCTCCAGATGTAGTCATACACTGAGGTCTGGGGTTCAGCCCTTCATCATGAGAGACACAATTGGAACCCGCATCTCTCCTGGTCTTAGATGGAAGATAGCGGCTTTTCCCCCAACTACAGTAGAGGTGGAGTCCTGAGACAGAAGAGTCCCACCTGACTGTCCTTGTCCCTTTAGTATACTGCTGCATACCTCAGAGGAGCTGGGCATGGTCTGAGCCTCTAGTCTTGGGCCTGAGCTTCCTGAGTTCACAATTGTACTCTCTTGTCATCTGTGTCCCAGAGTTCAGCACCGACAGCTGGCTGTTGTTCCTGTGAGGGGGGCCGATCATCAAGCGTTGAGCACCTCTGAGCCTAGCCCGGCTAGTTTTCTTTTAACACCGATGGTGATGGTTCACTCCACCTGCTTTAACATTCTGCAAAAGAATCACAGAATTCAACACCCCTACAAGTCTCTTCCAATGGTGTCTGCCAGATGTGATCACACGGTCTCTGCTCTGGAAGTACAAGGCTTTGCTCCTAGCTCGGGAACTGCCTGTGAAGGAAACTGTGTGCGTTTTGATTTTGTGCGGTGGTGTTGGTCCAGGCTGCAGGATGGATGTGGCTGCTGAGGCTCTGGATTCCGTCTAGACACTGGAGGAGTGTGGGCCACGACAAATTCATTAGCTGGCCTGAATAATTCAGACAGATTTGGAAAGCCGATGAACAAGGTGCTCCCCCATGGCCTTGACAATATAGATTCTCCTTTAAGAGGCAGAATATAAATTAATAACAGTCCAATTGCCGCTAATGCCACGGTGGAGTGGGCGCGGCTCCCAGACAGCTGCTCATTAAGGAAGCCATTCATTTCTGTCCCCTGGACGAATTGGTTGGTTAAGTTCTCATAAGCAGCCAGCTGCCCTGGCCAGAGCTGACCATGCCGTTAATGAATTGTAGGCTGTAAAGCCGTACGGCAGAGGAAGGCTCCACTGAAACTGTTCTGACCTAGACACCTTAGAAACTGTCTGTGGAGCAAGAGTGGGGTCATGACCACCTCCTCCCCACCAACCAATGGAGGGACTTTCTTTTTTGTTTTGTTTTCTATTTTTATTTTATTGCATTTATTTATTTTATGTGTGTGCAATGGCAGAAAGTAGAGAGACAGCTTTTCAGGAGTTAGTTCTCTCCTCCCATCATGGGGTCCCCGGGATCAAAACTCAGGCAGGCAGACCTGGTGGCCAAGTGCCTTAACCTGCAGAGCCGTCTCACCATCCCCAATAGTGGACTTCCTGAGAACTGTAGAAGCCCTGTTTAAACATATGTCCATGAATATACATCCAAATATACCCGTCCAGGACTGAGTCCCAACCACTCATATCCTCTTCACCCCAGGAGGAGGCCGCTCAGACTCCATCTCCACCAAACCACTGCCCCACAAAAGGAGTAGCCTTGAAGCATGGGAATCCCTGCTTCTCTGCAGCTTGTCTGGGAAGCATGCCATTTCAGGACAGCGCTGACTATGTATCCCAAAGAGCCTCTACTACAGAGCAGAGAAAACATTCAAGTGGTCAAAAGTAACAAAGACGAAGTGGGGGAGGTGCTTTTCCCTCAAGGCTCAGTTGTGTTGACTCCTTTGAGGTGCCCATGCCAAGGGTGCTCAGAGGGCCTCCATCTGGGTCTGTGTTGTACGAGGTGGGGCCGTGGTCTACTTGCGTATCCAGGACATGTGGGGGCATTTTGCAGTCGCCCTGGGAGTGGGTCACAGGGAAGTGATCCCTCCCTGTTACCTCTGATTTCTCCCTGTCCGGCTCCGTGGCCAGTGAGGAGAGCTGGCTTTGAAGGGGAAGTGGTGGCTAGGGCAGAGTGGTTATGGGGGAGGGCAGGGGTCCTGGGAACACGCAGGCCTTATCACTGATCAAAGCCAGGAGGTGCCGAGGAGGTGTGGCTACACCTGGCTCTCATTAGGGTTCAGTTCCCTCCAGCGTGGCCTGCTCTTGCTCAGCCCTCCAGACAGCCTGCCATAGGCCTGACCACCACACCTGGGGCACATGGGAGCACCCACCATGGTCTGTGCACCATGCATGCACAGACACCTGGCTGCTGCCTCTGTCTGCAGGCAAGTACCATAGCACTGGCCAGGGAAGCTCCTGGCCGGCCGTGCCTGCTTGGTCTTGGCACCACTGTCCTCCCTTGGGATATTCTCTTCTATGATATCTCTCACCCTAGAAACCTGCAGGACTGTGTAGCCCCGAATATAGGCTTGTTTTCCTGTGCTGCCTGACCCCTGGGCAGACCTGGAATGACCAGTGTTCCCAGCGGATACCTGTAGATAAGGCCTGCTATAGTTTGAGTCTTACGCATCCTCACAAATGGCCTGTGTGTTAAAGGCTGATCCTCAGTGTGTCAGGGCTAGGATGTGATGGAGCCTCTGGGGCAGTGGTTTATCCCAGCAGGAAGTTTATGGGTGGTTGATGGTGAGCCCTTGAAGGGGTAGGGAGTCTCTCTCTCCCTTTTTAGTTTTTTTCTGTTCTCAAACATGCAGTGAGCACTTTGATGAACCATGTGCTCTCATCTGTATCCCTTCCCATCCCCCAGTAGGCCTAAAAGCAACAGAACCATCCAGTTGTGAGCTGGAACCTTCAAACTGTGAGCTACAACGTTCGTTTCCTTTTATGATTGCTCTGCTCTGGGCTGATGCCTGCTGTGGCTTTGTGTGAACCCAAGGCCTTCTCTCTTGGTTTCTATGTTTGTATCAGTGAACTGTTGATCTTATCTACCTATGTGGGTGTTTGCCCAGAGGAGGGACCCCTACATCATAGGGTGAGCAGGAAGCCCAGAGTCCTCAGCCCTCCTGTCTCTCAGACTCTCCTCCCAAGATTTAAGCAACAGAAGGCACAAGCATAGAGAACATATGCCAGGAGAGAGAGAGAGAGAGAGAGAGAGAGAGAGAGAGAGAGAGAGAGAGAGAGAGAGAGAGAGAGAGAGAGAGAGAGAGAGAGAGAGAGAGAGAGAGAGAGAGAGAGAGAGGCGCGCGCTTAGGTCAGGAAGGAGCCAGAGCTGAGAGTCATAGATTGAACTCTGTCCCTGGCTCTGTGGACTCACTCCCTGATCTCTACTTGTCCTTCTAGAATGTTCCACCTATTGACAGTCTGTGGGCTACTTTGCTGGTTCACTCCCAGGAGCCCACATAGTTATAGTCAACTCAAAGGTGGGGGGTAACTGAATTAACTTGAGGACCACCCAACCCCAAGGGTGTCTGTCACTACTTCAACTGTCCTTAGAGGCTACTCTTGCACTTTCATTTCTGAATATGAGTCTCTGACTGCTTTTTTAAGATTTATTTTTATTATTTTTAATGATGTGTCTTTGTATACATCCATATGTAGGTAGATGTATGTGACTGCAGGTGCCTGTGAGGCCAGAGACATTCGGATTACCCTGGAGTAAGAATTTCAGGAAGCTGTCAGCTGCCTGATATAGATGTTAGGAACCATACCCGGGTCCCTTGGAAGAGCAGTGCACGCTCTTAACTGCTGAGCCATCTCTCCAGCTCTCTGGTGTCTCCTTTTGACTGACTTTGGTGCCTGTAGGTTCCTGGGCACAGTTGGTGGGCTAGCACAATTTGCTTCTATTTACATATGGTCAGTGGAAAGACTGGGCCAGAACCCACAGGGTGAGTGGCAAGGGGTGTCAGGTGTAACATGACTAGGGTGGCATGCCCAGTATGGGACGGTACACCGCTGGTGGCTAGCCAGATTCTGAGATAAAGAGGCTTGCCCATATCTGTTGCATGTTTGAGTAGGCCAATTCTCTGTAATTCCTGGCCAGCTATTATTCAAGGGACAGTCCCCCCCATAGACTTCCTATTTTGGGCAATCTGGGGACACACAGGTGCCTCCAAGAGAAGTCAGAAGTTGGCCAAAGTTACATACCCTCCAAGAGGAGACACTTAGTCCATTTCTTACTTCCTGATGCCCAAGCTCAATTTTATTAGGAAAAAAGAACATTAAAAATAGAATTGCTCACAGGGTTTAATCCCAGTACTAAGGAAGCAGAGACAGGTGAATCTCTGAGTTCAAGGCCAGTCTGGTCTACAGAGAAAGTTCCAGGGCAGCCAAGGCTACATAGAGAAATCCCATCTTGAAAAAAAAAGACAAAATAATAATAAAAT